GGTGCTGTGTGTTGTGTGTTGTGGTGCTGTGTTGTGGTGTTGTGTTGTGGTGTGTTGTGGTGCTGTGTTGTGGTGCTGTGTTGTGGTGCTGTGTTGTGGTGTTGTGTTGTGGTGCTGTGTTGTGGTGCTGTGTTGTGGTGCTGTGTTGTGGTGCTGTGTTGTGGTGCTGTGTGTGTGTTGTGGTGCTGTGTTGTGGTGCTGTGTTGTGGTGCTGTGTTGTGGTGCTGTGTTGTGGTGTGTGTTGTGGTGCTGTGTTGTGGTGTTGTGTTGTGGTGCTGTGTTGTGGTGCTGTGTTGTGGTGCTGTGTTGTGGTGTTGTGTTGTGTTGTGGTGCTGTGTTGTGGTGTTGTGTTGTGGTGCTGTGTTGTGGTGCTGTGTTGTGGTGCTGTGTTGTGGTGTTGTGGTGTTGTGTTGTGGTGCTGTGTGTGGTGCTGTGTTGTGGTGTTGTGTGGTGCTGTGTTGTGGTGCTGTGTTGTGGTGCTGTGTTGTGGTGTTGTGTTGTGGTGCTGTGTTGTGGTGTGTGTGTGTGGTGCTGTGTTGTGGTGCTGTTGTGGTGTGGTGTGCTGTGTTGTGGTGTTGTGTTGTGGTGTGTGTTGTGGTGTGTGTGTTGGTGCTGTGTTGTGGTGCTGTGTTGTGTGCTGTGTTGTGGTGTGTGTTGTGGTGCTGTGTTGTGGTGCTGTGTTGTGGTGCTGTGTTGTGGTGTTGTGTTGTGTTGTGTTGTGGTGCTGTGTTGTGGTGGTGTTGTGGTGTTGTGGTGCTGTGTTGTGGTGCTGTGTTGTGGTGCTGTGTTGTGGTGCTGTGTTGTGGTGCTGTGTTGTGGTGTGTGTGTTGTGGGGCTGTGTTGTGGTGCTGTGTTGTGGTGCTGTGTTGTGGTGTTCTGTTGTGGTATTCTGTTGTGATGTTCTATGCGTGCCGTATATGTTCTCTGTATTCCCTCTATTTCAGCAGGAGAGATTGCTGAAATAGAGGGAATACAGAGAACATATACGACACGCATAGACACGATAAAGCACCTAAATTATTGGGATCGTCTCAAAGCTCTCCAAATGTACTCACTAGAAAGGAGACGAGAGAGATATCAAATAATATACACCTGGAAGATACTGGAGGGTCAGGTCCCAAATCTACACAGTAAAATAACAACGTACTGGAGTGAACGATATGGAAGAAAATGCAGAATAGAACCAGTGAAGAGCAGAGGTGCCATAGGCACAATCAGAGAACACTGTATAAACATCAGAGGTCCGCGGTTGTTCAACACCCTCCCAGCGAGCATAAGAAATATTGCCGGAACAACCGTGGACATTTTCAAGAGGAAACTAGACAGTTTTCTCCAAGGAGTGCCGGACCAACCGGACTGTGGTGGGTATGTGGGCCTGCGGGCCGCTCCAAGCAACAGCCTGGTGGACCAAACTCTCACAAGTCAAGCCTGGCCTCGGGCCGGGCTTGGGGAGTAGAACAACTCCCAGAACCCCATCAAGCAGGTATATGTGGGCCTGCGGGCCGCTCCAAGCAACAGCCTGGTGGATCAAACTCTCACAAGTCAAGCCTGGCCTCGGGCCGGGCTTGGGGAGTAGAACAACTCCCAGAACCCCATCAAGCAGGTATATGTGGGCCTGCGGGCCGCTCCAAGCAACAGCCTGGTGGATCAAACTCTCACAAGTCAAGCCTGGCCTCGGGCCGGGCTTGGGGAGTAGAACAACTCCCAGAACCCCATCCACCAGGTATATGTGGGCCTGCGGGCCGCTCCAAGCAACAGCCTGGTGGACCAAACTCTCACAAGTCAAGCCTGGCCTCGGGCCGGGCTTGGGGAGTAGAACAACTCCCAGAACCCCATCCACCAGGTATATGTGGGCCTGCGGGTCGCTCCAAGCAACAGCCTGGTGGACCAAACTCTCACAAGTCAAGCCTGGCCTCGGGCCGGGCTTGGGGAGTAGAACAACTCCCAGAACCCCATCCACCAGGTATATGTGGGCCTGCGGGTCGCTCCAAGTAACAGCCTGGTGGACCAAACTCTCACAAGTCAAGCCTGGCCTCGGGCCGGGCTTGGGGAGTAGAACAACTCCCAGAACCCCATCCACCAGGTATCAACCAGGTATCAACCAAGTGTGTTCTACTGTGGTGTACTCCCCTAGTTGTGCTTGCGGGGGTTGAGCTCTGGCTCTTTGGTCCCGCCTCTCAACTGTCAATCATCTTTTTTTCACCCAGAAACCCCCTCCCCCTTCCCAGGAAGCAGCCCGTAACACCTGTCTAACTCCCAGGTACCTAATAACTGCTAGGTAACAAGAGCATCAGGGTGAAAGAAACTCTGCCCATTTATTTCCACCGTCACCGGGGATCGTACCCGGACCCTAGGATTACGAATCCCGAGCGCTGTCCACTCAGCCGTCGGGCTTGCATGTTGTGTTGAGATATAACAACTTGTTTTGTCTGTCTATATATTGCGTCTATCTTCCTTTGGCTGCTCTCTCTCTCTCTCTCTCTCTCTCTCTCTCTCTCTCTCTCTCTCTCTCTCTCTCTCTCTCTCTCTCTCTCTCTCTCTCTCTCTCTCTCTCTCTCTCTCTTTCTCTCTATCTCTAAATTATCGTCCAATTTTAATGAAAAATGATCTGTCATTAAAATAAAAATTAAAAATATAAAAATCAGTCATTAAGGAGTCCTTAACTACCCAGAAGACCTGCAACACCTTAGTGGAGACAAATCAACAATTCCTTAACACAATATCCCAAATTTCCTGAGAATCCTTTCTCCTAATTTGGGAGTCAAGATCAAATCACCTTACCAAATGACCTCATTTAAATATATCAGGTATACAATATACATGATGTCAATTACTGTATGACCGTATTTTAGTTTATTATGCGCCCAACACCCACCCGGAAGCTTTTAAAGGTTCCAAGAGCTGAACTCCAACATTGGCTCCAGGGGCCACTAGTAGAGTAAAACTTACACGTAAACTTTAAGGTAAGTTTAATAAGGTAAGGCTTAAAGTTTACTCTCATCTATTATGATATCAGTAAACTGTGCCAAAAGTTCAGTAAAATATATATATATATATATATATATATATATATATATATATATATATATATATATATATATATATATATATATATATATATATATATATATGTCGTACCTAGTAGCCAGAACTCACTTCTCAGCCTACTATGCAAGGCCAGATTTGCCTAATAAGCCTAGTTTTCATGAATTAATGTTTTTTCGACTACCTAACCTACCTAACCTAACCTAACCTAACGTTTTCGGCTACCTAACATAACCTAACCTATGAAGATAGGTTAGGTTAGGTTAGGTAGGGTTGGTTAGGTTCGGTCATATATCTACGTTAATTTTAACTCCAATAAAAAATAATTGACCTCATACATAATGAAATGGGTAGCTTTATCATTTCATAAGAAAAAAATTGGAGAAAATATATTAATTCAGTATTTATAATTAATTCTGTGTGTTGATAGTTAATAATTAATATTAATATAATAATAATTAATACAATAATAATAATTAATTCAGTGTGTTGATGTTACGGTTCTCTGTGTGCGTGTCACATCAATTGTATGAGTTAGCAGGTTAGTTTCTCATAGGTACTTCACGTTCTTCTAATATAATTGTTGGGCATCCACTTAGGTTGATCTGGGGCCAGATTCACGAAGCAGTTACGCAAGCACTTATGAACCTGTACAACTTTTCTCAATCTTTGGTTTTGTTTACAATTAATTAACAGGTAATGAGCTCCGAAGCACCAGGAGGCTGTTTATAACAATAACAACAGTTGATTGGCAAGTTTTCATGCGTGTAAACTGTTTAATAAATGTAACCAAAGCCGCCAAAGATTGAGGAAAGATGTACACGTTCGTAAGTGCTTCGTGAATCTGGCCCGCTGGTCTCCTGCAGCTTCTCTCAGAGTCACATATCCCTCCGTGTCTCAGCACCACCACTGTCTCCACTACAAGCAGCTCTCCCTCGCCCTACAAGCTAGGGGGTGAGAATACCCTACAAGCTACAAGCCAGTCTAGACCTTTTGATTTCAGTGTCCTTCCTCCTCCTCCAATCCCGCAAGCGGGCGCCTGCTCGCGTTCCCGCCTAAAAAATATGGCCTCCGTATTGGCTTTGCCGATCATGACGTCACTCGTCACCTCGCTTCTGATTGGAAGAAAAACAGCCTTCCTAGCGCCATCTTGCCTACGTCATCATTTCAGGCGGGAGAAACAATCAGGCTACCGTAGGATATTAATATTAATATCGGTCTCCTTTGAATATACATATGCTAAATAATTATATGAAGCCGCGCAAAGCGCTCTGATGTACACTCTTTATCTATAAAATTAAACGAAAACCCGTGATTACATCCTGGACGAAATGGGCGGCGGTGGAGGAATTTGTGAAATATTTGTAAACTGCACAAATGGTTCGGTTTATGGTATTGGTGACAGGAATAACAGAGCTGGTGGATGCTGCTCCCCTCTCTCTCTCTCTGTTTTTTTTTTTTTTTGAGATATATACAAGAGTTGTTACATTCTTGTAGAGCCACTAGTACGCGTAGCGTTTCGGGCAAGTCCCTGGAATACGATCCCCGCCGCGAAGAATCGTTGTTACAACCAAGTACACATTTTACTGTTGGGTTAAACAGAGGCTACAGTTAAGGAATTGCGCCCAGTAAATCCTCCCCGGCCAGGATACGAACCCATGACATAGCGCTCGCGGAACGCCAGGAGAGTGTCTTACCACTGCACCACGGAGACTGGTGGATTATAACCCTATTACATCCATTATAATCCCATTACACCCATTATGGTGCCCTTTAGACTCATTATTGACACATTACTCTCTCTCCTGTCTATTATACATTCATAAATTATCTCTCCATTACTTCCCTTTATACTTGCCCATTATACACCCATTATTCTTCTTCCAATTACAAACTCACTTCACTCCTATTATTGGCCTAATGCGCATCAGCACACAAACGACCATTTCACACACCTGTCTCTTGCCCATTAGGCCGCTTGCACATCCATTATTTCTCCATTGCAGCCAGTCTTGCAAGACGTATGCCCATTAGACGCCAATAACAGGCTTAATCACCTTGCAAAATTTCCCCTCACCCATTTTTGTAACCCATTACTGCGTGCCCATTACAGTCACACTAAATACCTATTACATGCCAGTTAAGCCTCTCGCTCCAGCCTATAATCGTCAAGTTTCATTTAACAAAAGGTAAAAAAAAAAAAAAGATTGAATGCCTTTTATAAAATTTTAGCTGTAAAGCCTTTTCTTGTCTTAGTTAAAAAAAATAAGAAATTATTTCACGAATAAGGCCGCTGGGAGGAGTGGGGAGGAGGAGAGAGAGAGGGAAGGTAGATGTAGATAGGGGGTAAGTCAGATGTAGAAGGGGTAGATGGTAGGGGTAGATTGAAGGGAGAAGTGAGTGATTAATTGACTACTGAGTCAATTGATGGAGATGGGGACTCCAAATATAGTGATGGAGATGGCCACTCCAAATATAGTGATGGAGATGGGGACTCCAAATATAGTGATGGAGATGGGCACTCCAAATAGAGTGATGGAGATGGTACGCCAAATATAGTGATGGAGATGGGCACTCCAAATATAGTGATGGAGATGGGCACGCCAAATATAGTGATGGAGATGGGGACTCCAAATATAGTGATGGAGATGGGCACTCCAAATATAGTGATGGAGATGGGCACGCCAAATATAGTGATGGAGATGGGCACTCCAAATATAGTGATGGAGATGGGCACGCCAAATATAGTGATGGAGATGGGGACGCCAAATATATTTCACTCCATAAGTGAAATCGTGGAACAGAAATTACTTCTCCTCATATGAAAAATCTTGATAAAATGATTTAGAACGTCCACAGATAACAACAAAGAAATTTGTGAAAGATCGACACAAAACATCGAACCTTGGGGGGTGTAGAAGAACTCCCAGAACCCCATCAAGCAGGTACCACATATCAGAAATCACCCTAAACCACCCAACACAATGGACTTGCGTTGGCCTGTTATTTGTTTCAGTAGCTGGACCTACACTTCTGCGGTCTCTTGCTTCCCTTTCGCCGTCCGTAGGTGGTCGTGGCCCCACAGGTTCGAGCCTCCGGGTATTTCTCTCCCATCTAGCGTGTCGAGGTATGCAGGAGAGAGAGAGAGAGAGAGAGAGAGAGAGAGAGAGAGAGAGAGAGAGAGAGAGAGAGAGAGAGAGAGGCTATATATTAATCAACTTTTAATAATTTTACATCCTTTTTTTCCAATCAGTTGAATAGAAATATTTTGAAACCATAATTACTGTAAACATTTAATCATTGCTCTTGTGAGCGATTAATTAACATTCGTCAAGGTAAAAATTATCCTTTGTTTAGCGAAATTAAGTAATTATCAGGTATTGCTTATTACAGGTAAGAAGCAACTGGTTATATATATGGTGTTTAAGGTATCCACCCGAGGCCAGGCTTGACTTGTGAGAGTTTGGTCCACCAGGCTGTTGCTTGGAGCGGCCCGCAGGGCCACATATACCTGGTTGATGGGGTTCTGGGAGTTCTTCTACTCCCCAAGCCCGGCCCGAGGCCAGGCTTGACTTGTGAGAGTTTGGTCCACCAGGCTGTTGCTTGGAGCGGCCCGCAGGCCCACATATACCTGGTTGATGGGGTTCTGGGAGTTCTTCTACTCCTCAAGCCCGGCCCGAGGCCAGGCTTGACTTGTGAGAGTTTGGTCCACCAGGCTGTTGCTTGGAGCAGCCCGCAGGCCCACATATACCTGGTTGATGGGGTTCTGGGAGTTGTTCTACTCCCCAAGCCCGGCCCGAGGCCAGGCTTGACTTGTGAGAGTTTGGTCCACCAGGCTGTTGCTTGGAGCGGCCCGCAGGCCCACATATACCTGGTTGATGGGGTTCTGGGAGTTCTTCTACTCCTCAAGCCCGGCCCGAGGCCAGGCTTGACTTGTGAGAGTTTGGTCCACCAGGCTGTTGCTTGGAGCAGCCCGCAGGCCCACATATACCTGGTTGATGGGGTTCTGGGAGTTGTTCTACTCCCCAAGCCCGGCCCGAGGCCAGGCTTGACTTGTGAGAGTTTGGTCCACCAGGCTGTTGCTTGGAGCGGCCCGCAGGCCCACATACCCACCACAGCCCGGGTTGTTCCGGCTATATTTCTGTATTGCCGGAACTGTAGCTCTTTTGGACCCACTACAGGGTCTCAAGTATACTCCAATATATAACTATACTCCAAGTATACTCTAGGTATACTCCAGGTATACTCTGTTTGTCCTCACCTCGTGTGGGCCAGGGACCTGACGCCCCAATCGCTTTGCCCTAGCCTCGGGAGCCGGTCGGCCGAGCGGACAGCACGCTGTACTTCTGATCCTGTGGTCCTGGGTTCGATCCCAGGCGCTGGCGAGAAACAATGGGCAGAGTTTCTTTCACCCTATGCCCCTGTTACCTAGCAGTAAAATAGGTACCTGGGTGTTAGTCAGCTGTCACGGGCTGCTTCCTGGGGGTGGAGGCCTGGTCGAGGACCGGGCCGCGGGGACACTAAAAAGTCCCGAAATCATCTCAAGATAACCTCAAGAAGATAGCCTCCCCTTACATCAATATACCAGTCTAACGTTCGTAAACTTGTGCATTGACATACATCAATGTACATTTATGTGGCTTAGCGTAGACGAACTTTAATAACCTCAACAGAGCCCAACCACTTAAGACGGTAGAGCGACGGTCTCGCTTCATGCAGGTCGGCGTTCAATCCCCGACCGTCCGGAAGTGATTGGGCACCGTTCCCTTCCTCCCATCCCAACCCCAATCCTTATCCTGTCCCCTTCCCAGTGCTATATAACCATAATGGCTTGGCGCTTTCCCTCGACAATTCCCGTCCCTTCCCACAGTTGTATGTTGTTGTTGTTAAAGATTTGCTACTGGGAACAAAAAGTTCCAAGTAGCACGGGCTATGGCGAGCCCGTAGAAAGTTGAGTGGCCAATATCTGGCTACGGACAACAGCGGATCACTTACCATAAAGCAGACTGAATACTGCATATGCTCATTTGAATTGTAATTTTTGACAATTTAAAAATTTTTCCCGTTTAAAAAAGCTTTTGAATCCCCTTTTGTGGCCGAGTGGTCAATGTTCCACTATGTTGTGTGGAGTGGAATAGGTCTGTGGGTGGTAAAGGTGGTTTACCATGCTGGGTGGTAAAGCTGGTTTACCATGCTGGTGGTAAAGCTGGTTTACCATGCTGGTGGTAAAGCTGGTTTACCATGCTGGGTGGTAAAGCTGGTTTACCATGCTGGGTGGTAAAGCTGGTTTACCATGCTGGGTGGTAAAGCTGGTTTACCATGCTGGGTGGTAAAGCTGGTTTACCATGCTGGGTGGTAAAGCTGGTTTACCATGCTGGTGGTAAAGCTGGTTTACCATGCTGGGTGGTAAAGCTGGTTTACCATGCTGGTGGTAAAGCTGGTTTACAATGCTGGGTTGTTGAGCTGTTGGTCTGTGGTAGAACAACTAATTCATTGGATCAAGATAACAAGTCTCGTATCTCCGACAACTTTGGAGATAATTTGACTATTGCTGCCATGGTTGGCGTCACTCCTGCCATGGCTGGCGTCACTCCTGCCATGGCTGGCGTCACTCCTGCCATGGCTGGCGTCACCCTCCTGCCATGGCCGGCGTCACCCTCCTCCTCCTCCCATGGCTGGCCGCACACTGATCCGTTTTCCGTGATCCTTGTGATCTATTTCGCCAGATGACATCATAACACTGCTCACTGATTGGCTGGCTGACTTCATCGTTCCTGGTTGGCCGATATGAAATCCTCTTTAAATGTGATTGGTCAGACACTAATTTTCAGAATTTTAAATGTAAATAATTATGTAAATGTAAATTTATTATTTAAATGTAAATAATAAATTTATGGTGAGGCAGGACACAGTTACTAGTCATATATATATATATTTATATATATATATATATATATATATATATATATATATATATATATATATATATATATATATATATATATATAAACAAGGATGCCGGGGATCATAATATATAAAAACACAAACTTCAAGTTAATAGATATTAATTAGGCCAGTTTTGTTCCCCAAATGCATTCCGGGAGCAGTTTTGTGTAGCGAGAACTGCATTATTCATTCGCCGCCGCGCTGTTGTAAAAGTAACTAGGATTTTTATGCCAACTGGAGTGCACGCTCCCTCTTTATACTTGCGAGTATACATGGAGTTTACTTGCAGTTTTGGCCAGAGTTTACTGGGTTTACCAGTGGGGGAAGGAGTGCTAGTAAGGGTAAATGGTATATAGAAACTATAGGCCTATAAGGGAGAAAATTAACGGGGCCCATTAACTTAACTCCCCCCCCCCCACCTTTCTCTGTCATTCAGGGTATCAGAAGTACTGAGTGGTATTCCGTGCAAATGGTACATATGATGCAGTTTGCCAACCACAACAGCGGGTGGGGGGAGGGGATGACACTCGCTTATGGTATTAATTTGCGCTGCGGCAGTGTTAAGATCGTTTGACTGGTGCTTGCTAAGTAGGAGCACAGGGTTCGACTCCCCCTTTACACATTAACCGGATGAAATGTTATAGTCCCGGGCTGTTGTGGTTGGCATTATGCACGAGGATGGGACACCTGTCTCCCCCCCCCCCCTCCCTTTGTCTTTATCTTTCCCAATTCTTAACTTTATTATCAATGTTTACTTATATTGTTCTGTTTTTATTCATTCTACTTTCATCGCTGTCTCTTTATTTCCCCGTTCTTATTCTCAACTTTATTTCATAGTTATTGTCTTCTATTTTCTTACATTCTTCCGTGTTAATATATAATTCTTATCATGTTCCGTCTCTCTTATCACCCCCACGCTTCTCACCACGACCCGGATTCACGAAGCAGTTACGCAAGCACTTACGAACGTGTCCATCTTTCCTCAATCTTTGACGGCTTTTGTTACATTTATTAAACAGTTTAC